CCATCCGTCACCGCCATAAAAAAGAGGCGGTCGGAGCGACGCGATGGTTCCGACTTTCCAATTTTCGTGTTTTTATGGGTGGTGTTACAACGCCTTTAGGTTGTTCGATAACCGGGCTGAACCTAAGGGTGAGGTTTTTGAAAAGGTGTTCTTAGGTTGTCCGATAACCGGCTAACCTAAGAACTAATTTGAAGGGGTTCTTATGAAGTCGCCACCGATGTTTTTACCGGAAACATCGAAAAAGGAGGAAAAAGGCGTTGGTTTTCAAAAACCAACTTTGGTCGTTAAAATCGAGTTGGGTAAGGGAGTTAGTTACGTGTAAGGGAAGTATTAGTTCCCTTATGACACCCCTTTCGGGTTCCCTATGATGGGTTAGTTATTTCATAAATAAACTTTTGAAAAGACGCTTTTACCCTTTTTATTTGCGGAATTAAAATAATGACTACATGGCCTTAATATCTATTATGCAATTTAATCATAAAAATAAAGACAGTAAAAGAGAGGGAGAGAGTGAAGAAACCTCCGAGACAAGCTTTTTAATTAATACTCTTGAAAATAGGGTGCTTTTGGCAGCCTTTCGCTCTTACAACGCCGGAAATCTCTCGAAAATGCTATAAAAAATCTCTCTAAGACTCTTAGAAACTCCGAAATGCTTCGGAGGGACTCTAGGAAGAGAATTTGAAGAAATTGTAGAAGGGAAAGTGGAAGAAGCTGTGTGAAATGAGGGGGAAGCGTTCACTATTTATAGGGATTCGCTTCGTCGAGTCGAGACCGCCGTCTCGCCATTCGGGACGGTGGTCTCGACTTGCTAAAGTGGTGAGACCGCCGTCTCGTTTGGCGAGATGGCGATATCGACTTTCTCCAAAGGCTGACGAGTGAGAGGCCGTCTCGCCAAACAGGAGGGGGTCTCGCCGGCCTATTGGCTAAGTGGGCTAGCTCAGATGGCCGTCTCGTGTCTCGCCAGAGCACAAGACTGGCGGTCTCGACCTCCATCGAAGGCTCGAGAATATACATGTCCATACGTGACAATATTGCACCTACAACCACTTCTTCCCCATCTCTAGTCGATGCACCCAACCTTAGTCCATCACCCGTCATTGCATCAACACCTTCTCGAGGAGCTACATTGCCTTCGAGTATCATCGGTACCATCACCTACATTACCCTCAAGGTCTCCAACACTATCAAGATTATCAGTGCCTTCTAGAGTCCATCATACACCAGCTGGGGAAGACCAAGAACTACATATTCAGGAAGGTGATGCACAATCAGACATTGAGGAGGATCATCCACTTGACACTAATCTTCTTATCATATCACCTTATGGTCTAGGATAAGAATTAAGTTAAAATTATACCATTCCCATTATTTGCAAGTATTAGGAAATACTGTTATAATTATTTAATTTAATTCTTTGGCGAAGGTTCCATCCATGTCGGGTTGCATCACAAGCTATAACAATGACTATTAAGCAACAATATTCTAAGCCATGGTTGACATGGGGTTTAATGACCGATGTTGAAAAAGAGACATTCTTTCAGCGGTTTAAAGTAAGTTTTCTTATATTTAGGCTGATGAATTATTTTTATTACTTTCATTCATTGACACAATTATTATTATTTGTTTGTTTGTGTCAATTATTTGCAAAGAGAAAGATCACCTAGAGACTTGAAGATGAGGACAAGATTCAAAAGAATTTTCACTCAAAGGCCTCACATAGGCTATCTGAAATGTTCAAAGATGCTAGAAGGGCAAGAAAGAAGCCGTATTGGATGTTTGATGATGTGTGGAATGCTTTGTTGAACAAGTGGAACTCAACTGATTATCATGCAAAGTGTGCACAAGCTTAGAAGAATCGAGCTTCTGAGACGGGTGGTAGTTTACGCATAGGTGATTCTATTAGTATGCACGAACACACCATTCGTATGGTAAATATGCAATTATAACAAAAGTTTATTTCTTTCATTTCTTCATGATATGTTATTAATTAATTTTGTTGCAGGAAAAGGAGTTGGGTCGTCCTGCACATATTGATGAGGTGTTCAAACAGACTCATACGAAAGGTTAATGGTGAATTTGTTGATGAAAGGTCTAGAAAAACTCATGTGAGTTGTGAACTTATTTAATATTACTCTATTACTCTCGTACATGTTATGATGGATATGTGTTGTATACAATGCATAATTTTTATTTGTATGTTAAGAATTTCAGAGAATATACTCTTAGGCTAGATCTGAGGCAACATCCTGTGCTACTGAAACTGAGTCATCTCCATTAGATCCTATAGAGGAGGAGAGAATAAGGACTGAAAGTTGGGTTTTTGCTGCAGGTGGCAACAAAAAAAGTCAGATCTACGATGTTGGAGAACTTGCCCATAATTTTAGGCCTGGAGATACCCTCTCATATTTAGGATATACTACTTCTCATGAGATTATGCAATTAAAGGAACAAGTGCTTAGTTATAGGGAGGATAATGAAAGATTGAGTCGCCAATTACAAACACTTGTCACTGTTGTCCTTCCTTTTCTTCCACCTAATGCCCGACAAGCATTTCAACAACAACAACATTCCCAACAAGGATCACAACAACAATCACAAGAGCAGTAAGAGCAACAACAACAACAACAGTCATAACATCAACAACAATAAGCTTCTGCAGAGCAGCCTCAAAATGAACAAGGACATTACTCAAATTATTAAGACACTCAAACAATATTGTCATAATATTTATTACAATACTTCTTTAGATTTATATGTTCTTAGATATTTGCATGACTATTTGATGCATGCTAAGGATTGATATCTGAATATGCACTTGGTGCATATCAATACTATGGAATATTGTTGTTAAATTTGATATCTAAATATTTTGTGTATAATATGCATGTAACAGGTAAATTTTAGTTAAATAAGTGGATGGTGAGGTAAAATTTTTTAAATTTACTTAATGATTTACCTACAGATGCTAGTTTGTAGATAAATTTGAACGTGTGCATTACCTACGGATTGTAATCCGTGGATAATTACCTAAGGACACAATCCGTAGGTAATTACCCATGGAAGGTATTATCTATGAACAAGTAATTTCGTAGATAAATTATCTACGACCATATTACATACGAATTTTTTCCCATGGAAAATACGTAGGTAAAATGACATTACCTACGAATTTTTACCATTACTTATGGATTTTTGTTGTAAATAATATAATGTTTTTTAATGACCATTTCTAATTTTTATTATAGTTTAAATGCAATAAAATTATTATATAATAATTTAAGATTTGTTACGAATGATTTGTTAAAAAAGATTAAAGATGGTAAAAAAATCATATTTTTATGCCAGATTAAAAGCAATAGAATAGGTTTTTTAATATAGCAAGGGGTTATGGAATGTTATGTTTAAACATTGAATTTATGTGTATAGTATTTTGGAATTTAGGAAGTGAATCTTATAGGAAGGTAATAAGAGTAAGTTTAGTTTTAACCTCTGTACCATCAAGATATATCTTAAAACGATGTTTTGGTAACTTGAAAAAAAGAAGAAAAAGGAAAGGAAATAGTTTACTTTGTTTTATTTTATTTTTTTGCTATTTTATTGTGACTATAATTTTTGTCATTAATAAAACATATCTCTACATCCGTTGTAAAAATAAATAAAAATTAAATAAGAAGAATGATTTAAAAATCAAGAGGAATAAAAATATTTTTTTATAATAAATTATTCTTGAATCTAAAGGTATAAAAACAAGTTTAGTATGATAGGTAATATCAAACCACTCAAAAAATAAGATATAAAAAGAAAATATAATTTAAATTGAATTAGGTCAATTTTAAGCAGATTTATTTTATAAAATAATATATATATATATATATATATATATTTTAAATAAAAATAATATTATTTTTATTAATGAATATGTATATTATAAATTAATTTTTTCTTAAGTTAAAAGTTAAAATGAAATATTATTTTGTATTATTATATTACTAAAAAAAATGGATGTGACGATGAACAATAAGTTTTAAACTACTAGAATGAATAAATTTCTTATGTTATAATTGAAAATCTATGATAAAAATTAGTTTTTATTAGTATAATTTAAATTTTTTTAAAATTATTTGTATTAATATAATTTTAATTTTAAAAAAATATTTTTATTTTATTTTATATTATTGTTTAATTTTTTTATCAATTATTTTACGTAAGTATATTTTAATTTATTTTTAATTTTAATTCATATCAAAATTAATATTTAACTTATTGACTTAACATAAAATAAAATAAAAATTATAAACTATTTAAAATATATATTAGATTAGATCAATTTATTTTTTCATGATCTGAATAAAATAATATCAGAACTGGATTGGTTGGTACATTTTTCACAAGCCTAAGTAAAATATTTTCAAAGGAAAATTATTTTTAGTACATACTAATTTGACACATGCAAAATGGTTATCTTAGTTTTAAGTACAACTTTTAGTAACATCTCATTTTTAATTTACGGTTCACAAGTCACAACAGTGTAATTTGCAATCCAAGTGTCTACCATTGGATGGAATAATAGAGTTGAATTTCAATTTATGTAACTTTACGCAAATGAAATATACAGCAGGTTGCAAGAGATGTTTGAATTAGTTGGATATAATTATATTGTTTTGCTAAACCCATAGTTACTTATAACCTAAACACGCATTGCCCATTTGCATCATCTTAGAACATAAGATCATCAACAAACAACAACCTTTTTTTTTACACTAAATATAGTGGTTACATAAATGATAAATGGCATGTTAGTGAACTAAGTTAAAATCAACTTCTCACATACACTTTTAATTGAAAATACACTTTCACACATTAAATCAATTTTCATATTTTTAATTCTTTATCAATTCTTGTCACATTTTTCAACAGATTATTTTATTGCCACTAGCAAATAAACATTGCGACTTTGATAGGTTCATAACATGCATGCAAAGTAAATGCATATCATAACTTTAAGGATAGATCTCAATAAGAGATAAATATCCTGTCAAAGAAGATATTTTGTAGCTTTGAAACCCTGCTTCCTCGAACAGTTTCTTCCATTCTTCTTCTCTTCTCTCTTTTCCATTTATAAGACATGCCATGCTTACGTCCATGAGAAGTTTGAGTTCAGTAAGTTCGTGCTCATCTTCGTTTTCGTTTATCACAACATCTATCACAATTACTTTTCCCTTTTTACCTTTATCAGAAATTGATTCTTTACAATTTTCCAATATCTTCCTACAATCCTTGTCGCTCCAGTTATGTAAAATCAACTGCAAGAATAAAAAAGGAGGATGAAAGATTAGAATTTTGTTAATAACATATATGTCAGGCCAATAAGTTTTAATAACATGAAAAAAAATATATAATATATAAACATAGCAGGCTTTTAAACTTGAATATTTTTATATAGTTTCAATTTTGGTTTGTTGTTCTTGTTAAAAGAAATAATTTTAGTACACGTATTATCATAAGTTCAATATATCACAATAAATCTATAAACGTATCACATGAAACAAAAAAAAACAAAAAAAACACTACTAACCAAGATGTAACAATTTTGAATCACATATCGTATTTTATTTAAAACACAAACACGATGAAGAGATCTCAATTGATTTGCAAAAATAAAATAAAAAAACTATGCAGAAAAATTAATGCACTAGGGGAGTTTTTATATGTCTCATGTGAGAAATGAGTTAAGCTTTGGAATAAATAAATTTGGCATAGTTGAACAAGTTTAGTAAAATATTTGTTTAGACATGCATACCTTAAGAAGAACTGCATCAGCCTTAGGAATAGAATTAAACATGTCCCCACCAATATAGGTCAAATTGTTGGTTTCTGGCAAGTTTTCTACAACACTTGGACGTTCCAACACAATGCATTTCATGTTAGGGAAGGCCTCACTGATAACCTTGGCTGTGATTCCAGTTCCACCACCAACATCCACAATGGACTCCACTCCTTCAAACACCCAATTGCAACCTCTCAACGCCATGTTCATCATCTGAGAGTCACTAGCCATTATTTCATTGAATAATTTGTTACATGCAGGATTTTTATCAAGAAATTCCCACAGGTTTGATCCTAGAGAGACATCATACAGTGTGAGACCATCCTCATAAGTCCACTTCTTCAAGTCAGACCAAATACCTGATAAAGTTGGGTCAACAAAACCCTCTACCATCGGTGCTAGACAGAGGTCACTGCCTTTGACAAGAAGCTCTGATGTGACAGTTAGAGCATATGCTTCCTTCTCTTCCCTATCCTCATGGACACTTACTATTTCAAAGAATCCCTTGTAAGCAAGGCTGCGCATGAGACTCTGCACGCCACTAACTTTAGTTGGTGGAACTTGTAGTATTGACACCAACTTTGGCAGCGTAATGGGCTGACCATGGTTGTGGATTACGTCTGGTATTCCAAGCTCAACAATCCATTTAAGACTCATAGCATCGATTGTATGGGCAAAAAAGTATTTGTACAAGTGAACTTGACCTTGAAAGATTTCACTTGCTTTACGGCCATTACTTGAAGCCATAAATGCATGTGAATTTGGTTTTGTGTTTTCTGAAATTTCAGTGCCCCTTATATAAGGTTTGAAGAAGATAAGCTAAGCTAAGCTAAGCTAATAGTTACCTTCTTGCAGTTACTTATAAAAACTGTTTAGAAATAAAAATATTATTTTAATATAGATTTATATATATGAATTATTTAAAATTAAAAAATATTTATATAAGTATTTTTAAAATTTTATATACTTTTTTTACATTGTAAATGATTTATAAATAAAATTCATATTAAAATAATATTTATATTTTTAAATAATTTTTACAAGTATTTTTTAGAAGAGCAAAGAGCATTTTTCTTGTTCTTTCAAGACATCATTTTTAAATTTATCGGAAAAGGACTGAATATATCCGGCCTTTTATTTTCAAGAAAACATTTGGACAGCATTTGTCGCAAATGAAAAATATTTTAAGATTGTTAAATCTCCGCAATATTTATTTAAGAAAAATAGTTAAAAATTCTTCTTATTTATTTGTCAGCTCTAAGAAATCAAATTTTGAATTAAAAAGTTGATTGACTTAGTAAAATATGCGTCCCTGATAAATACGTTACTTTTAATCAGTTCTGTTGATATTAATTAATATCTTTGTGTTGTGATATCCTGTTCATACTTACGTATTATTTGATGTAGTATGTGATACTTTTAATGTAGTTTATAATCCATAAATGATGTAAAAATAAGATATTAATGATGTTTTTCTATAAAATTTGATACATCATTGTTAATCAATATAAAAATTCCTTTTCTTTCTACATATGTTACGTAATGTGTGAGAAAATACACAACAGTAAAATTTTGCCTGGTAGAAAACTATTGGAACAATTATTGCTAGAAAACATTTTTTTAAGCAAAACAATCAATAAATAATATTAGGCTATATCAATATAGTAAGAAGAAGAAGAAAGTAAATAATTATTAAAAATAAAAATAAAAGAGTATCTATCTGATGTAAACAAGATTAATTGTCAACTAATCTTTCTTTAAAATATTAATACATAAAGAGTCCGCTTTGAAATCAACACTACGACAGAAACAAATAAAGACTTTAAGTTTGAATCTAGAAAATTTCTTTTATATATATTATCATCCCCTCAATTCAAAGTTACAATCACATAAACCATTAAATGATTCAATCTTGAAATTCGTTGCCTTAGTATGATTTCATCAATATCAAAGCTTGGAAATTTGACTATATATTACTAATAAATTAGAAGTTTTGTCAATCCAATAATTACAAATCCATTCGTACTTATTGGTAAAAACATTAATTCAAGTTTAATCTTATTTGTGTATTTTGAATCCATGCTATTGGATTTATAAAAAACGTGTTAAGCGTTGCCACCAGTAAAAAAGGCGGTCGGAGCGACATGATGGTTTTGATTGACTCGCGTTTGTTTTTAAAAGTGTGGTCATCACCCTTAGGATGTCCGATAACCGAACTATTCTAAGGGCAAGGTTTTCGTAAAGGGTTCGGAGTCGCCACCAATATTTTAACCAAGAAACATTGGAAAAGGAAAAAAAAGGCGAGTGGTTTAAGAAAAACTAACTTTGACCATTACAACCAGAGTTAGGTAAGGGAGTTAGTTACGTGTGGGGAAGATATTAACACCCCCACGACGTCATTTTCGGGTTCCCTATGATGGACCGTTATTTTCAAAATAGAAACATTAAAATTATGCTTTTTACCCTTATTTATTTATTGCGAAATTTAAATGATTGATTACATGACCCTAATAACTAATGTACAAAAATAGCAATTATTGAAAGTAATAAATGAGAAGAAATATAATAGAAACCTCCGGAGCAAACTTTTATATATTTCTTACAAAGGATGCTTTTTCGACAATTCCGCGCTCTACACGTACACTCTTCTCTTCAACCGAAAATCACTCGAAACTGCCTAGAATTCTTGGAAACAGGTGCTTGGAGCTAGAGTATTAAGTGAAAAGTGTTTCAGGATGAGAATTATGGAGAATCTATCCGAGATTGTATCAAAGTTCGTGTCCCTCATCCCCCGGAATGAGAAATGGAGGTCCTATTTATAGAAATTTGTGCTTCATCATGTGGGCTACCTTCATATTACCGGAAGTCTTTCTACATTGGCAATTTCAAGCGCTTGAAAAGATGTTTCAAGGGCATCTTCAGCCGCATCCACATAAGGTTGGGTAGACGGTCCACTCGATCAGGATATCATCTTCTCGCTTGGACCGTGACTAGCTTGTCATCCACCATGAACTTGACTTTCGGTGGAGCGTTGAAGGTACCGCCTTAGCATCATGAATCTAAGGTCTGCCGATGAGACAACTATATGTTGGAGTAATGTTCATCACGTGAAAATCGACGTTGAAGATAGTGGGTCCGACTTGGATTGACGAGTTGATTTCCCCACTACTTCTTGTTTAGATCCGTCGAAGGTTCGAACGATAGTGCTACTTAGGCACATGGGGGTTCCTTGAATAATCAACTTATCAAGTGTGCACTTGGGCATCACGTTCAAGGATGACCTGTTATCCACAAGAACTTTAGCGATGAGATACTCATTGCATTTGATGGAAATATGCAAGGGCTTGTTGTGGCTTGACCCTTATGGAGGGAGTTCTTCATTCGTGAAGGTGAGGTGATCGCTAGCCGTGATGTGACCGACGATCCTCTCAACTTTTTCCCGGGATATAATATGAGGTACATGCGCTTCGCTCAAAACCTTCATCAGGGCATTTCTATGCGGTTCCGAACTCATTATTAGAGATAACAAAGTTATCTTTGCAAGTGTATGATTGAGCTGGTCGATGATGGAATGCTCGTTTTGCCTTATGAACTAGAGCAATTCATCAGTCTCCTCCTTGGATTCTTTATTTTCTCTTTCTTCGGTTTGTTTATTTTTCCCTTTATTCTTGGGGGCGTCTTCTTGTAACTCCTTGGGGGAATATATCCTTCCGCTTCTGGTCATGCCCCCAATACCGGCTATGTTGGAGATGTCCTCCTTTATTGGTGAAGATTCCTCGTATCTCCATGGTACAACTTTATTTGATTCATAGGGGAAAGGATGAGGCACAAATAATCGCACATACATCCTTGCCCCCTCTTCTTTATTGGCTTTGATAACCAATGACCGAGGCTTATTGTCCTCTTGTGGTGAATCGACCGTTGGGGAGAGCTTGATTACGAGCGGTTTTCTCTCCATCCTTCTTATTAGAAGATGTATCAGTTAATCCTTCCTTTTTATTATCTTACTTATTAAAAGTGAAGGAGGGGTAATCAAATATGCAAATGAATGAAATGCATGCAAGTAGACAATTGTTGAATAAAAGGAAATTTTATTTATTCGTAGAAAATGTACATTCCCCTACACCATGCTACGAAGCACTTTTGGACAGAAACGGAAAAGCCTAAAGAAACGCACAGGCGGGTTCTGATTTCTATGTAATTCCTTTTCGGCTTCCCGGACATGATGGGTGAGTGCTTCGGTCTGTTTATGGACCACCTGGCTCATATCTTCATTGTACTTTTGAGCCTCTTTGATCTTCGCCTCTTGATGGACGACCAAGGCTTGTAACTCGTCGAGTTTCTCAAGGGCTCGGTCTCTTTCTCGTAGCACTTGGCCATACCGAGCTAATCCATCTCTTTCCTTGCGGCGCAACTCGGTAAGGCTTCTATTAAGTCTCCGGGTAGTCTCCCGTCCTTGACATATTTCGGACCAAGTCCTTGCGAGGTCTTGTAGCAACCCCTTGATCGTCCGAGCTTGTTTTGCACATTCGGCCTCAAGGCGTGCCGACTTGGCGATTATTTCTTGAAGTTGATTATCCGAGCTGATTCCGGTAGATTTGGATGCTCGAATAACTCGCTCACCTGGAATCAAGCACACCGGTCCTTGAGATGCTCTATCTCATGATCTTTCTTCTTGAATTGCCTCTGTAGACCGTCTATGGTGATGATAGATTCTTGCTCTTTTTCCTCGAGGGACCTCATCTAGGCTCCCATGATTTCTATCCTCCGGGTCAAGGCATCGACTTGACTTTGAAACTCTCTACCGGTTGAAGACGCAGCGAGTGGGGCGGATGGTTGTGACATCCCTCTATTTCTCCCGCACTCCTCATAGTCACTGGAAACAACTACTCGAGCTTTTCCTAGCTCTCTATCTCCCATGAAAACTGGTTTCTCCCATGCTCTTCGTACAACAAGTGAATTAGCAACAGGTGCATGGGCCTCCGAAGAAACACATTCCTCCGAGCTCTTCCCGTGATAATGTGGTTTGGGTCCTCATGAGTTGTCTCATAGCCACTTTTGGAGAATAGGCTATGCAATCCCTAAGACCTATTAACGGTACACTCGGATAATCCCCACATGTGATGAGGATTGGGCCGGTCGGAACCAAGGACGAGCCCAGGACAAACGGTTCGTGTCTCATTGTTCCAACTCGACCTTCCACTCCATGGTTAGGCGTCGGTGGAGAGGGATTTTGGAGAAGCTTTTCAAAGGATCGGGAACATCCCCATGTGACTAAAGGCGCACAAATAGCAGTGAAGAGCAAGCATCTCGAGTGTTCTCCCTTGCTTTTGGTGACATAATTCCACCAAAAGCAAGGTGTCGGCAAGAGGTGCAGCAGGGACTCTTCGAGTTCACGTCCCGAGCGAAGAAGGCGTCCATGACGGCTTGCTTCTACCGTGTCGAGGTGGAAGTGAAACAAGTATCGTCCCAAACACGATTAAAGTCGTGGTTTTGTTAAAAGCATACTAGTCCGCCCTTTCAAACAAAGAGGATAGATGGTCTTCTAACATTGAGACTTTCCAACCCCGGACATTCCCTTTTGCTATCGTGGTAATCCGCCGAGATGGCAATCGGATGATGGTAGCGACTTGGGCTGCAGGAGTATATGCCTCATGGCGAATATGGACCCCGACTCGACTTGGGTCATTTTAGCATAATCTCATACTCCTCCAAAGTGGGCACCATATCGAACTGCGAGGATTCGA